TTCAGCTGCCTCCATCGGGGTCTCCCAGCATTCTCTCACCTGTGAGCCCTGCGAGGCCTAACCGGCTCCGTCAAAGTAGGCTAAGAAGAAACCAGAGGCGAGTCTAGCCCCTCCGCGTGCACTGCCTCGGATTTCTGCGTAGATAGCCGCGAGCGAACGCGTGCGCGCGTATTTTTATTCGCTTTGAATATCTCTCCTTAACTACTAACACGCGTAGTGCAAGATCGCGGACTCAGTTTAACCAACGCTTCACAAAAAAACGAGTGCTTGTGAACACCCTGTTTTACCCCCTGAGTAAAACGTCCTCTCTGTAGTCGAGGATGATGGTAGTGGCTCAGGTTAGATTGTTGAGCTGGCCTCTGTGCTTTCCAAACCTTCGTACTAAAATACGCAAAGCTGCTTGCGCTCAGAAAAAAAACTGTGTTCGGGAAGTACTATGAATAAATTTTGCGCTTGCTTGTTTGAGAATGTACCTCTCTGCGCGAGACTAAGCCTTCCTGTTAACCCTCCTTTTTCCAGCGGTGGCGGTTCTTTCCACTCACCACACGATGGTCCTGGATCACCCTATAGCGGTTCTCGATCAGACCTGCTGATGGACGACGTGGACTCGAACTTTGAATCTATTCGTGTGAGTTTATATTGCCTGTCTCTATCTCTAGCAGCTATGCGACTGCTGTCGGGGCTCCCAAGGTACAACGGGACGAGCGAGTCTCGTAACGCGATTGTTGAACGTCCACCTACCGTTGTTAATACTCCCGTTCGAAACTGGCAACGCGTGGCGAAGTTGGTTAGTGCGTTAGACTTTCTAACCCCACGGGCTCGAGCTTCTGGTGGCACGACACGTAAGGGTTGGGCATGGCTGGCTGATGACAGATAATAAGCCAGAAATGGCGATTCCAAGGTGTCGTTGTTCTGCTCTAGAACAAAATCAAAATTATACGTTTAATGTTTGCTATTTTCCTCTGTCAATCGGTCACGCCTCTAGCTGTTAATACTGTACTTTAATTTGACCACAAGCTGATGACGACACAAAAGGTGGCTTAAACTGCAAAGGAAAATGTGAACCTGCAGGACAAAAAATTAGTAGTATCCATTTTCTGGACGAAACATGCTGGTAGAAAACGTCAAAATGTTTTAGCTGGGAAAATATGCAAGCATACATCCGCCCGGGTGCCAGACTGTGGATTTAGCTTTTCCACGAATGTAAAAAAGACTGCAGTGTCGCTTCACTAAGTGAGCGAAAAGGTGGACATAAGAAGAAGGAGCGTTTTTTGACCATCCTTGATCTTTACCACGAATGATCGGAAGCGACTACCGGAGCCTTATTTCAGTCTCTAGGTGATTACCATTCAACGTCCAAAGCAGGTACAAGCTACAAGTCCAGACACATGTGTTTCGTCGATATTCTGTCACTGCATGGCATAACTACAAGGAGTTCGGCCAAATAGCGTGTTCCTCAGCACTCCCTGTGGGCTTTTTTGCAGATACTTCCGTTTTGAACTTGCTGTTATTTTAATTTCCTCAGAAATTAATCGCTAGCTTGGATTAACTCAGTCTAAATTAAAGTTAATAGGCGCGGAGCGAATATTTGGGACGAAGTTAATCAGCTACAACGAGATAACGGCGTAACATTATGTAAACTGCCTATAGGCGGGGAAAGGGGGGGAGTTACACCATACTGGCGCGCAGGAATCTGCTGGGGTGTTTTTCTGCGTTGACTTCCTATGCTCTATTTGAAGAGCACAAGTCTACTACCACTGCTTCTCACCTTTTGCTCACCGTTTGCACCGACAATGATGGTGCCACTTTTCAGCCATGTATCGCGTGATGTGTACTCACATGCACAAAAATAAACGTGGCAGTCTTTTACATCTCCTCCCGCCATCGCTCAAACGTTGCCTGCTGCTGCAGTGGAGGCTAGCTGCTCTTCTCTGCACCAATCACACCCCTCCCCCGCTGTGTGTGTTTGTGTGCCTTCCAAAAATTACGAGTACTTGAGTCATTCACAAGCACTGCAATTCATTATCTGTCTTGATGGGGGGGGAGGTCGACGATGAGCTGCTCAAAACACTGCTAGCCACTAAGACGTTTGTTTTGGCAGATGTCTCGTGAGAGTCGCATTCCATCCGTTCTGCCTTATGACTCCAGTCTACGGGCCTACGGCGGCAGTCGTTAAGAGCGCACATGGAGACCCATTGCAACATTGTTTTGTTTGCTTACGGTATCCTATCCGAAACCAAACCCACGTAGGCGACCTGTGCAACAGGAAGTTTGTCCCGAAGAAACTGCACCAATCTAAAGATTACCCTGAAATCGACTGTCGAACTGTCGTGAGTAATGAAACAGAAGAGCCAACACAGACCTGGCATTCCAAGTCAGGCCGCAGTGTACTTCGTGATCAAGAGCAAGAATGGCTATACGAGGCTTTTAGCGATGGTGGCCTCAAGCTTGAAAAGGGCACGTTAGACTTCTCTTTAAAGCCACCAGGCAGGCAAGTGTCTGTTTAACACGAAACCTTTTT